CACACGACGACGTACGTTTTTTTTTTAACGTTTTTTTTTTTTTTTAAAAAAAAAAAAAAAACTTTTCCGGGAGGGAGCCTCTGATTTGACGTAATTTGATGAAGGGTTTTCACCTCCTCTCTGCCGCTTCTTGATGGATTGAACGTATGGGTACAGTACAGTAAGTTAGTACCAGTACAGTAGTGCTGCCGCAAGACGGTTCTCGCCGGATGACGCTGTATCATATCAGCGGGCGAGATAAAATGCTCTACCGGTACCGGTACCGCTTGTTTCTGGAGTTGGTGGATGGAACGTTCACTTTTTTTTTCTTTTTTTTCTTCTTTTCGCTGTGGGTGCTCGGGGCTTGTATTATCTATGATACTTGTACTTGCGGTCCTTGGGTTTGAGTTATTAGAGAGGTTGGAAGTAAGTTCTGGGTGGGCCATGGTATTGTAAAAGTACAACTGGTGACAGATAGCTGATGAAAGTGCACAGTATTGCTCTACTGTACTCCACGTTCCAAGCTTCTCTGTTTTGAGCCTCCATGGGTACGAGTAATTACGGTAGAGTACAGTACCACGCGTTCTGGGCCAGACACTCTGGTGTTACGGTGCCACACTGGTCTGGTGTAGAGTACTGTACTAGTACGCTCAGCTATGGTAGATTTACTACCGGTGCATTAACACGCGCACCGTTATCATACTAGGACTTTTAAAAATCTACACTGAACTCCTCCCCCTTCACGATCGACTCTCAGGTCTTATCTAATCCCTCCGCCGGTGACTTCCCCCCCCTCGGTTTTGCCCAAGGGTACTGTAGTACCTGACTTCGCCCCGTTACACAACCGGAAATCTCGTGCCCCTCACGTTCATCAGTCAGTCATAAAATTGACTGCACAAGTACAGTACAATACCTACACTTATCTCCAGAACGGCCAATAACACAGCCCTCAGCTGGCCTGGAAATTGCTGGTATCAATACTACACTTTCGCTCGATTGGACGGTTTCCATTGCCATTTTGCTGTGGTGTACTTTTTCTCTCTCTCTCTCTGTGTGTGTGTGTGTGGTGGGGTGGATGATATAAAAATAGACCGCCACGCCAAGTATGATACAGTACTCGTACGGTACATTCCAGAGAATGATGCTAC